CTCTCCCCAGTGCATCTGAGAACCTGAGAGTCTTTCCTCTCTTGCTCACTGCTCACTCGCTCTCTCTCTCTCTCTCTCTCTCTCACACACACACACACACACATACACAATTCTCTTATACTCGGAGTATCTTTAATGCACTCTCGATAGTTATTCCTCTCACATTTACTACATCTTCCCACATAACGCTCTCCCCACTTCCCCAGTCTTTCACATATTCCTTCTCTCTCTCCCTGTCCCTCCCTCTCTCTCCCTTTCCCTCTCTTTCCCTCTCCCTCTTCTCCTCTCCCCTCACCTCCCCTGGTGCTTAACTGGAAACAAAAGTGAGTTTGTTGAGCCCTGCCAGTGGGGAAGAGGAATAAGCCAGCGGCGGCAGCCAGGGTGGCAGCAGCAGAAACAGGCTGGGGCCAGAGGCCTTGTCCACAGCCGGAGACCCCAGCGCTCAGCTCTTCCGGGAAACAGGTAACGCCTCAGACTGAGCTGGCTCAGGCCTCCTGCTCTTTGTCCTGTCTCATCACCTCATACCAGCTCCGCTTATCTGCCTTCTCATTTGGCCTTGAAGGGGGAGGGGGATTGAAGATTTAGGGAATGGCAGGCACAGAAGGTCCAAGGAGTCACGTGCTCTCCTCCCCGGAGAACTGTGTGTGGTCTGATGTGGCTGGAATCCAGGGCAGGTGGGGTCAAGCAAGGGCAGCTGAAGTTAGAATATACAGCGTCCAGGGTGGCTGGGGTGTCTGGATGAGGGAAGTGACAGAACCTACCCAGACAGATCAGGGCCAGATCATGAGGGATGTTTTGAGCCATGTCATAGACCCTAGGCTTTAGATCCTAGAGAGCTATTGAATATTTTTCACCTGAAGAGTAACATGACCAAATCTACATTTGGAGAGAGTGGTACTTGAAAGCTCATCCCATGGAGAACTGCTTTACCTACTCAGAATAAAGCAGCCCTAGTCTTCTCCCAATTTAAGGAAAAAATAAGGCTATTTGTTCGACTGTTAAATTTTCTTCTATAAAATTGCTGTAAACCTTTGATGCCTGCCAACAAGCATCAGTAATCAATAAAAAGGATGTAAGTTTAAAGTAGTAGAAAAATTCAGAAGTAAAAAATCATTTAAGTAAATGCAGTCCTTTAAGCTATATACAGATAAATGGGTAGTATTTTCTGCTAGTAAAATTATTTCTAACTCATATGCACAATATTTTATGGTGCTGCCCCCCAAAATACCATGACTCCCAGGAGTTTGCCAAGGGAGCAGGTTTGAAATGTCTTTAAAGCTAACTCTGCTGCTATCTAGGACATGGGATGGATGGGGCAACCAGAGACAACGGGAGCAGTAGGTGACTCTTGTGATGACAGGAATGTGAGCCAATAAAAACCTGAATAAAGGTGGTGGCAATGGTGGGAAAAGGGAAGGGAGCCAAAAAAATAGTCAGGAAGTGAGTGAAAGAAGTTAGTGTCTGATTAGACATGGACGATGAGAGAGAAGGAGGCTTCAAGAGTGAGCCCCAAATTTCTCCTCTAGATGGCTGGATAGCTAGGGGCACTGCTAATGAAAACACAGGAGGATAAGGCTGGGGTGACAGAAGAAGAGAAGCGGAGCTACTTTGAATATGTTGAGGCTGACTTGAGATGGAGCAGTACAGTTGGCAGTTGGAAATGCTCAGTACAGTTAGGACCTAGAGACACGGTTATAGGATGATGCCAGAAAGAACATGAGATGGTCCAGGAAGAGTGTAGAAAGAGGGGAGACAAGAAGGTCAAGGAGGAATCCAGAGGAAGATCAAGATTTAAGTGAAACATACAAGAGGTGCCAGGTAAGGACACTGAGAAGGAGTCCTCAAAGAGATAGGAAAAGATATCTAGAAAGTGCTGCCTTAAAACAACCAAGAGCATTTCAGTTCAGAGGAAGCAGTCAGCACCGCTGATATTCCAGAGAGATAAGCCAAACCATAGCTTCACAGTGCTGTTGATTATTTTATTTTATTGACTTACTGAGTTGAGAATAAGACAACAAGAGACACCTCAGAACAGAGTTATAACTTGGGTGCTTAGCATAAATGAGATTAGCAGGGTACACAGTAGGGAGTAGTGGGGACTGTGGCAAACTAAAATGCATATGCTTATCCGTCACTCAGCTCTAATTGATTGTTGCCAAGTAGAAATATGGGCACTGTCATCAGAGTGTCTGAATTTTCAAGAAAGTTCAGAAGTCTGGATTTTTACATGAAACCTCATAATTCTTTATGTTAGCAACAATGAAAAAAACTATTATAGTCTATGAGAGTTGAATTAAACACATCTTTGTGCTGCCAGTTAAAAATCTCTGCCTTAGTCAACATCTTTAGTGTGGTGGGGATGAACCAGTTGCAGCATATTGGGAAGTGATTGGTAAGAAGGAAGTAGAGACAGTGAGTGTTAAACATCTCTTCAAGAAGTTCAGGGTAGAGAAGAGAAAAAGAGAACAGGATCAGGTAGGAAGAGTTGTTTACAGGCTGATAGAAAAAGGATGGAGGAGAGAAGTTGAAGACCCAGGTAAGGAAAGACTGGTTAAAGAAATAAGAATTCAGTAGAAGGGAATAGATAGGGCCAGAGATGGGCTGGAGGAAGAATTCTTTTGTTCAGAGATAGACTGCAGCAATGGTAAGGACACCGAAGGACTAGAAAGGAAGAAGTTGATGGATTTCATGCCTGGAGGCCTTCTTTTCTTGGTGAAGTGGCGTAGGAGATGCATCAGGAGGATTGCTTAGAGGGACATGGGAAAGGACACTGACAAGAATGAATGGAAGCGGCTATACTTCTGAGACCTGATAACAGTGGAAACCCTCATTTGTACAGCTGGGTGGTTTTATGCAGAGGGGCTCATGAGCCTGGCTGCTAGAGTTGGTGGCAAGAGGAATTAGCACCTGTTATATTCCAGGCCCTGTGTCATGTGTATTATTCTCCTTATCTGATTTATTGGGACAACAACCTTGTTCGCTCAGACTGAATTCACTCATGAGTAAGTAGCACCTCTGAGATTCACACTGACATCTAGCTAAATTGAAAACCTAGCAGACGCCTTGCATCCACTGTACTATTGTGTACCACACTGCCTCTCCCTGCACCCCAGGACGCACCTGCAGAGGTAGAGACTGGGCAAATTAGTTCTTGTTTGGGCATCAACTGTCTGGTGTTACTGGGAAGTCGAAGACTAAGAGGGTAGAGCTGTGATGAAACAGTAGCTAAAATTATTGACTATTGGGAGTCAATGGAGAAATAAGTGAGGGCCAAAGGGGATGATAAACTGAGGAAACAGAGAAGCTTGGAGGGAGAGGAAGACTTGATGAAGCCCAAAGACAGTCAAAAGCAGAGACGTTACTTTGCCTACAAAGGTCCGTATAGTCAAAGATACAGTTTTTCCAGTAGTTGTGTACAGATGTGAGAGCTGGATCATANATGCTTTTGAACTGTGGTGCTGGAGAAGACTCTTGAGAGTCCTTTGGACTGCAAGGAGATCAAACAGTCAATCCTTAAGGAAATCAGCCCTGAATATTCATTGGAAGGACTGGTGCTGAAGCTGAACCTCCAGTACTTTGGCCATTTGATGCAAAGAGACTAAAGAGACTCTTTAGAAAACACCCTGATGCTGGGAAAGATTGAGGACAGGAAGAGAAGGGGGCAGCCAAGGATGAGATGGTTGGATGGCATCACTGACTTAACGGACATGAGTTTGAGCAAGCTCCAGGAGTTGGTGACGGACAGGGAAGCCTGGTGTGGTGCAGTCCTTGGGGTCAGGAAGAGTCAGACACGACTGAGCAATTGAACAGCAATAACAAAAAAGAGTCAGTGAGAGACTGAACCAGGGCAGAGGCAATGGAATTGGTGAGGAAGAAAAGGAGTCTCGAAAACTTCTAATGTGGGAGTGGAGGTGAGAGAAAGAGGTGAGGTGAGAATGATCCAGGGTGTCTACCTGAACAGTTGGTAGACAGTCGTGCTTGTGATGTCACATGATCTGTCTCTGGCTCTGCCTCACCACGCTCTGTACACTAACCGGCACGCTCCACCTCAGACCTTAGGCGCACTTTCAGCACTCGTAGAAGTGGCTCATTCTCATTTTTCAAGTCACAGGTCAAACATACCTTCCTCAGAGAGGCCTTTCTTGATCTTGCTATGTAATGTAGCTTCATGGTCTTTTCTTTTTTTCAGAACACTTATCACTGCCTGAAATGACTGTTTATAGATTTATTTACTTGTTTATTGTCTGTATCTGCCACTGGAGAGGCTCAAGAGATAAAGGCTGTATGGGCCTCCTTCACAGCTTTGTTTCCTTGCACCTAGACCAATGTCTGACACATAATAGGCATTTCTTAAATATTAAGTGAGAGAAAGAAGGAAAGGAGGGAGCATGGGCGAGAAGGAGGCAGGGAAGACCAGAGAACTAGTCTGGGGAAGGGTACGTGTTCTGTGTTTGAATGCTGACCTGAGGTGCCTGAGAGAACCCCCCGGGAGGCAACAGCCCTGGGCAGTTGGAAAGCAGACTGGGAGTTCAGGGACAGACTTCATCTTGCCCATGAAGAAGGTGGGCCCACATGGCACGCTGGTGCAAGCACATCCTTTCACAGGGCTGATCTCCCCTTTAAGGCCAGTGTGGGAGGTGACTGGGGCCCAGTGGAAAAGGGATCCCTCCGTTATTCTGAAGTTGGGACAGCGTTTTTCTCACCTCACTTAGCTATTCTGATCCCTATCCTTGCTGCTGCCCTGGCTTTGGCCATTTTCCATCTTTCTTTGGTGTCAGCTCCAAGTCCCTGGACTCTGAATACAGACGAAATCCTCTCATCTCTTTTATCTGGGAGAATATCGCACCCACATCCACCCACATCCAACTCTAGCTTCGCCCAGAAGGTGGACTTCGTCTTACTGAATAGGAAACACTTTCCCCTTGCCCTTGGCTCCTGCTCCAGTTCAAGCCTCCACCTCCCACCGGGCACTCAGCAGAGCTCCTGCCCTCCTTTTGCAGGGTCTCCAGCTGCTGAGCAGCTCCAGGACATCCTGGGGGAGGAAGATGAGGCTCCCAACCCCACCCTCTTCACAGAGATGGACACTCTGCAGCATGACGGAGACCAGATGGAGTGGAAGGAGTCGGCCAGGTGAGTCCCTCCCTGGAGGGCAGCAGGGGGGGCTTCCCACGGCAGTCTGCCTGGGCCCAGGCTGAGCTGACCAGTGGCACTTCAGACCTTGAGTCCTGCCGGGGCACTTCCTGGCCCCCAGAGACCCACTGCCTGCCTTTCCTTGGTGTCCAGGATTGGTTTGGAGCACTAAGGAGCAAACAGAAATTTACGACTGTCTCATCCTTGGAGAAATGAAAATCCAGGTGGGAAAGTATAACAGACACCCATGAAACTATGAGAGAATAACACAAGGGCATATGTCCTTTCATGCCAAACTAAATGTTGTGAAATGGAAAGCACCGAGCAGGCTGGGATAGATGCAAGTGCTGCCTGGAGGAAGGAGAATGTGTCCCGGGAAAAATCCAGTCGGGTGCTCCGGTGGGCCTTGGTAGAGTCTGCGGCAGGACAAGCAGAGTGGAACCATAGAGGCCCACGTGGGGATCAGAGGAGCTGTGTGCAGGGGCGACAGGAGAGAGAGGAGAGCCAGACAGCTGGAGGGGACCACGCGGTGAGGTCACGGGAGCCAGCAGAGAATCAGGGTAAGGAATAGCGCTGGCCGTGCCGGGTGCCTGGAGAACAGAGGCCTCTGAACTAGACGATTAGCAATGCCAAATGCTGCCTAGGGCCCAGGGAGAAGGCAGGATGCAGGAAGGGGCAGCAGGAAGGGCTGGGGAGAAGAGGAGAAACCCTGGGACAGAAGTTGAGAGTCTGGAAGACAGAATATAACAACGTTCTCCAACTTTTTTGTATTAATGCCCCCACACCCAAATTTGTAATTAAAATTAACTTTGTTCAAATAGAATTAAATTTTTTTTTCTAATGAGAGAAATGCAGTGCTAAGAAATTATATTTTTTTCAGGGAGGGTTGAGCTTTGCAGCCCCTAGAACAATATTTTAAACTTTTTTGCTCTCCTAAGAATGCATTTTTGCCCCCCTGGGACTGATATTGTCCCAGTTGAGAATGCCTGGACTTACTGCCAGCTGTGCCCAAGGTGGCTCTGCCTGGGGGCCACCACCGCACCCAGAAGCTGGCAGCTGCCCCAGTCAGAGCCTGGGCCCCATCCTCACCTACCAAACTCACTCACCTCAATAGTTGTTCTATAGAACGAGGAGCAGATTTTGACATTCCCATGCTTCCCTACCCCGCAACTGCCCCCCCGCCACCCCGCCCCACTCCAGTCTTTCCTGGAAGGAAAAAGAGGTCATTGATTGTCTAGCAAATTCCTGCAGGCCTCAGAAGGAAGGAATTCCTAGCCTCATGGCTGGGCCCAATCCCTGTCCGGAAGGTATGGAGCCTCTTCTTATCAGCCCATTCAAGGAGCCCTTACTGCATGCTAACAATTCACAGGCTCCTCTCGTTCAATCTGCACAATGACCCTGGGGAGGCAGGAAATATTATTATCCTCATTTCATAGTTGAGGATAGTGAGATTAATAGTCAAATCAATGCAAGAGTCACAGCACGCAGGTAGCCAAGTCTGGATGCCAGTCCAGGGCTGTCTGAGTCTCCAGCTCGAGTGTTTGGGCACTTTGTCACATTTTCCCCATTTTTCCCAGCCACCTCTCTCCCCTTTCTTCAACTCTTAGGGATTCTGTTCTGATTTCCATGGGAGGACTTAAGTCTGGAGGGGATTTGACAGCTGTGAGAGACAAACAGGGACAGCCGCAGAGCCCGGGACATCCATCCGGGGCTGATAAGTGAAGGGAGGACATTTCAAATGCCCAGGGCCCAGTGTGGGCTACTGTGGCTTAATGCCTCTGAAGGGCTTATAACTCCCTGGGCAAATGCCTTTCTTGCCCAAAGCGGGGCATATTGAGAGAACAAAAGTTGAGAAAGGCCTTCTCCAATGCCCAGTGGGAAGAGCGTGACTTCCCCCCGTCCTGGGCAAGGTGTGCATGCAGAACCCCTGGCAATAACTGCCAGGACCAGGCCCCCCATGAGTGCCTGTCACTCACACACACAGAACCTTCGCTGAGAAGGCCTGAGGCCCTCAGACACATGGCTGTTGCCATAGATGAGATACCCAGTTTCTAATGTGAGTGTGGATCCACGGAGCCTTGCACACTATAGACCCTGAAATGAAAGTGATAAACTGTAGATAATGATGTTTCTGGAAGAAGGCCCCTGATAAAATATAAAGGGGCCTGGCATTGCCGTCTGCAATGGGTCTGGGTGTTTCTCCGCAGGCAGTTTTCCAAGGACAGTATTTGAAGAGACCCAGGAAGAGCCCCCAGTGTAACCCGAGCAGCTCCTCAAACCAGTGAGAGGAAACTGGAGGCTGGAGGAAGTTTAAGAGAGGAACCCAGTGCCAGGCTGATGGAAAGCGTAGCATCTTGAGGGTCATTTTTGAGGAAGGAAGCATTCAGGGGAGAGTCACTCAGTCCTCCTCATCTCGAGCTCCTTTCTCCACCCTTCTTGCCATTACCTTCTCCAGGGGATCTTCTCGACCCAAAGATCAAACCTGTGTCTCCCACATTGCAGGCAGATTCTTTACCATCTGAACCACCAGGGAGAACTTCTCCCCCTTTAAGCATCTCTCCAGCTCACCCTGGCTGGTTTGCAGCTGACTCTTGGAGGTCTGAACAGCAGCCTCTGCAGAAGTCAGAGACAAGATTTGGCTGCTGGCCAGCCAGTCCGGCTTGGCCTGGACAGCTGTACCAGAGGCTCCTCCTGGCAGACTGCAGCAGGAGAGGTGTTTGGGGGCCTGTCACCCCCAGCAGAGAACGGAAAGAACTGCCCTCAGCTCACAGGCTGTGCAATCGACTCAGGGAAGCCAAAGGTCTCAGAAGTTTCCAAAATCTAAGAACCAGCAAATTCCAGTGGGTTCTGGGCCTCCTTGGAATAACAGGAGAAAATGATAGGAGGCAGGAACAACCCCTCCCATGGACACTCAGACCCTGAGAGGGTTGCAGGTCTGTACCCACATCAAAGAGATTGGGGGAGGGCACCCTTTAATAAAAGTATTTAATTTGTTGGGAGAGTGCTTGCTTTATTGAGTTAGGAGATTAACAGTGAAAATCTCAAATCCGCAAGGAATTTTCCCCAGCACTGCTTTCTGGGGGTTATTAATTTGGGGGGATGTTTTCGGCCCTTAGAGAAGGAATCACCGCTGGACAGATTTAAACGGCTTTTTGAGCTCCCCTGAGCCTGGTCCCTCTCTGCGTGGTGGCGAGCGTGCATGTGGGCGTCATTTCTAACGTGATCAATGCTGGTAGGTCAGGCTGTTAATAAAATAGATTTTTATTCAGTTTGTCTCTTTAGGGTTCCCGGGAGGGGAGTGCAGCTGGCTCTTTGCTGATGCTGACCTTGCCTGAAGGGAGGGTTGGATGGGCGGGGTCGGGGGGACTCCCTCACTGTGAGCAAACACTTTACCCAGAATCCCATTGTCTCTGGAGCTTGGCTCAGCCTGAGCGGAGGGGCAGAGGAAGGAAGGAGGATGTGGGCTGGAAGCCAGGCAGTGCGCGGAGGGGCTTTAGGGTTACTCAAAAAGTAGACATCGGAGCCTTCCCTGAACTCTGAAAGCGAACTCCAGATCCAAGCTGCCTCTGATCTCAACTCAGCAGACCTGAGCTGAACTTGCCAGAATGTTCTTATGAGCCACATACGCTCTGGAAATATTTCTGCCATGATTGGGAAAAGGCAGAAAGAGGGGCAGGAGAAGTAGGTCAGCTTAGTTGCGTCAGACCAGATCAGTACCTTTTCAAAAGCCCTGAATGGTTCTCCACACACAGGCAGAGATGCTTTCTCACTCTGAACCTGATGGAAAAGGAAGCCTGAACTTTGCTTCAACCCTGAAACTGCTCCTGCTTACAGCCTTGTAGAATGTTCTCCTAACATCACCTGCCCTCTTTGTCTGCACCCCAGTTCTCTGGCCACTCACCTGGAATCACCCTTAAAGCGCCCGAGATGCCCTCTCTATGTAGAAAGCAGAGGAGAGAGCTGAAAATTCTTAGCACAGATGTCAACAAATGTTACTCATTCATTCAACTACTAGTTAGTAAGCATTTACTGTCTCTAGGATGTGAGCCACGTGCTTAGAGGTACAAAAAACATGGCAGCTGCCATGCCTGTTTATCAGACTCCACAGATGTAAATAACTAGAGGCTTGGTGACGGAGTGCTAAGAGAGAACAGTGTATGGGCACCTAACCCAGACAGAAGGGATCAAGGCAGATGGACAGGAAGAAAAGCTGTTCACATAGACACCTGAAGGATGAGTCAAAGTTAGCCCAGAGAGGGTACAGAAGGGGGGAGAGGCCGCTGAAACAGGGGGAGCAGAAACAGAGCAAGGGGCAGAAGTTCCCTGTAGCTGCCCTAGAGAGAGTGGCCAATGATGCAGGCCCTGTGCAGACCATGTTGTGGAGTTTGAACTTGATGCTGAGGAATTTGGAGGACCACGGCGGGGTTTGGGCTAGAAGAGGGACAAAACTGTCTGTCTGAGAGATCGCTCAGGCGTCAATGTGAGGTAAGCCTGGGCTGGTTAGGAGGCTGGTCTGGGGAGAAGTGATAAGGTGATGAGGTGAGGTGAGGTGGTTCCCATCTGAACCAAGGTGTTGACAATGGAAATAGAAGATGTGGACTTGAGACATATTTTTTGAGTATATATGTGTGTGTGTATACACATACACACACACACACACACACACACACATATAATCTGCATTTCCTTTTTAAATATACTTTATTTAGAGCAGTTTTAGATTAATAGCAAAATTGAGCAGAAGGTAGAGCTCCCATGTGTCCCCTGCCCCTACGTATTCATAGCCTCCCCCATTATCAACATCCTCCACCGGAGTGGTACACTTGTCTCTGTTGATGAACCTTGCTGTTGTTCAGTCACTAATTCATGTCCAACTCCTCACAACCACATGGACTGCAGCACACTAGGCTCCTCTGTCCTCCAGTATCTCTTAATTTTTGCTGGAATGTTTTAAACAAAACCCCAGATGTTATAAACATTTTAGTACACATCTTTATGAA